ACTTCTTTACAATAAATACAACTGTTTCACATCTTTAAAAAATATGATAGATAGAATGATACAGGACAATTTAAAGCAGCCAAAAATGTCGAGACTTCTTCCAATTGCAGAAGGAATAGTTTATGTTATCCTTTAAAATACGCTTTATACATTATATAGTTGAAAAAAATGTATGTACAGATTTTTGTTTTAATGTATATCATTGACAATAAAAGATAAAAGTAAACAACTTTTTTTTACAACGCAATTCAAACAATATTTATTAGCATCTTGCATCTTATATTGCTCCGAATGGCCTCACTATAGGAAGTTAATGTTTTAGAAAACTACATATTCATATGTAGGTATGCACAGTATTATTGTTACCTGATATAACGAGATCAGCTTATACCGAGGTAATTAGTCTGCCATTTCAGTTCTCGTTATAGAGGGAGTCTACTGTATATTTTAATAGTATTATTCTCATTGACAAAGCGCATTAGGCAAACATAAAATATTTCTAAAGTTGAGTACTCACCTAAATCAGTTGATAACTGTGTACATTTTAGAGGAACAGCATTTTTCCTTAATAACTTTCTTTGGCCACTTTGGTAAATATGTTCCGCTGCAAAATGGTGCTGGCAAATTACCCTCTGTTTCAGGTCACTGATATCAATATTCCCGCAGTTTTTTTGCCAAATTTTTGTGCGCTCTACGTCTTTCAGGGGAAATTTAAAGAAAGATATCTTATTATTTCTTCCATCGTTTCTTTCAAAACATCCCGCGTAAACACACTTATGCGTTACAGAGGCCATTTTATCTAAAATGTGAGTCCTTTTTTTTTATAAAATTCCGCTAAAACTTGTCACAACATTTGTCACAGATAATACACTTATAGGGTAAGTTCGGCCCTGCCACTAGTCCTACCTCCTCGTAAGTCAGAGAGAGAATGAGAAATCTCGGTTGAGTTTACCGAAAGTACAAGCTGAATATAGTCGCAAATGTCAAAAATATTTCGGCTTGGCAGTGTTGGCATGTTTTTATAATGCATATATTGTATGCTTCAAATATAAAGAGATAAAGTTTTTAAAAAGTATATTTTGATTACACTATTTTATGAATTCTGCAATTTTTAACTTATATGAAGCAGTAGAGTAGATATTTCTCAAAATACAAACATTAGTAATTTAGTAATATTTGTATTTTAAGAACGATTTCCGAAGTGGAAATTGAAACGTCAATACACGTATTTTATCCTCTAATTGTGGCTTATTCCCATTTAAATAGTAAATGTACCTATTTCTTGACCATCCAGAAGTCCAGGTCTTAACCCCATGGACTTTTGCTTTTGGGGGCTTATGAAAGAGAAAGTGTATTCTGTAACAATAAAGGACGAACAACCATTGAGGGTTAGAATAATTGAAGCTGCAAATCAACTTCGTCAGAAAAATCTGATTTTTCTGCACATTCGGCTTTCGTTATTAAAACGATACCGAATGTGTATTGAAGAAAATGGGGTCATTTTGAACATTTATTGTTAGATCATATTTATAGAGGTTACAGACATTTTTTATACTTGTTAATTCATTTAAGCCATTTATTTAGTTGCACGTAATTTTTAAAGGTTAATGAAAATGGCCGTAACTTAATAAAAACTGTTTTTTGAAAAAAGTGATAGGAGTCAAATTTTTTTTAAAAATAATGTGTTTCTGAATAAACTCGCATATGTAGAGCTAAAAAGACATGCATTGATAACATTTTTACAAACTGTGAACTTTATGTAGCAGAAGTATTATATACTCATATTTCTGATTATCTTTATCAAAAATGACTTTCAGTATTAATGTAAACAAAAAAGAAAATATAAAAATTGGGAAAAAAATTTTTGATTCCCACAGTAAAGAAAATTTTAGGCAAATGCTGCAAGATGAAGACTGGGAGAAGTTTTTTTTGTATCAAATTGGATATAGAAAAGCAATGGGTTGTATTTATAAAAATCATTTCTTTGTTATTTGACCAATGCCTTACAGAAAAAAATATAAATAAACATAAAAAACGTATCAAATACTATAATACAAATGAAATAAATCAATATAAAAGTCGCTTAGACCTTTTGCTAATGTTAAGTAGAGTAGATGACCATTACAAAGATGAGTACAAACGAACAAAACGTCAGTGTAATAAAATGCTTGTGTATTCACGAAAAATGCAGTATGGGCAAGAAATATATAATAGTCAAAATAAGTCAAAAAGTCTATGGAAAATCGTTAAAGAAATCACACAGGTAAATTATATCGATAATAATGTATCAATACTAGGAGATCCAGTCATGGTAAGTAATAATTTTAATGAATATTTTTTAAATGCTGCTACACATATTTTAGAAAATATACCAAAAATAGAATTCAGCACCAAAATACAGTTTACCAAAAGCTCATTTTTTTCTAACGCCAGTAACTATAAATGAAGTAATTGAATTAATTAGAAAATTGAAAAATAAATTCACTTCAGGTTATGATGGATACCTACAAATATAATAAAACTGTATGCATATGAGGCTAGCTATACCATTATGTCATATAACAAACAATACCTTTATAAATGGGATATTTCCAGAAAACTTAAAAATAGCTGTAGTAATACCAGTGTATAAAAAAGGTGATGCCACTTTACTAGAAAATGATCGTATAATAAGCCTCTTACCATCATTCTCTAAGGTTTTTGAAACAGTCATGTGTGTCAGGTTTCTCAGTTTTTTCTATAGTGAGGGACTGTTATGCCATGCACAACATGGGTACCTTAAAGGAAAATTTATAGAGACTGCCATTTATGATTTTATAACAAAGATAAATGAGGGTTATGAAAACAAAGATTTATCCATGGGCATATTTTTAGATTTATCAAAGGCATTTGATACTTTAAATCTCAAAATACTAATGGAAAAGCTTTACAGATATGGCATTAGAGGGCCAGATTATAATTGGATAAAATCATACCTATCAAACAGAAAACAGAGGTTGAATTTTTTTAGAGCTTCCCAAATCCTTTCTTGTTGTTCTACTTTTCGAACCTGTCTTTATTAAACGGTACATACACTGTTGCACAAAAAATATTTACGGGGTTTTTCCCATTAATTTTTTTAAAAAATTTTGTTAAAACTCCCGTTTGCTTACATCTAACACCATAAATTTGAGTATGAGGGGAGAAATTACTTCTCTGGTGAAGGTCTCATTTCGGTGGAAATTCCTCAGGGAAGCATTATGGGTCCTTATGATTTAGCTTTAGACATAACAGGTAACAATCAAAATACTCTTATTGTGGAATTTGCAGATGATACTAACATTTTAACTATAGAGTCATCCTTGAATAATTTATTGAATATCGCTAATAATAGATTAGATAAAGCACAGAAATGGCTAAATATGAATAAACTCATACTGAACAGAGAAAAAACAAATTATATCTGTTTTGTTACTAAAACAAATAATAGTACCTTACCAGAAATTGTCTCAATCCAATCGCAAATGGTTATTATAAACCAAAGCACAACATTTCAGTTTCAATTTCTATAACAGGTTAGCATCTATCTGCTACTTTCAGAATAACAGCAAATTATTTAAATGAAAAATGTAACCGAGTTGTATATTTTTCAAATTTTCATTCTGTATGTATTGCGATTTGGAATAGTTTTCTGGGGGGGGGGGAAATTGGTAAGGTCATGTAGAGGTAATTTCAAAAAGCTAAACAGACTAACAATGGCTGCAAGGTACATATATGAATGCTTACTTTTCATTTTTTTAAATAGACATAATTTCTTGATACACATAACATGTGTACTAATAAAAAAATAATAACATAACATAAAATAATAACATAATAACATAATACCAATAAAAAAAATAATCTCATAAACTATAATATACCAATACATAGACTGTATTGAACAGCATCTGAGAAACTACAGAATATGCCTGTATTCAATTATTTAATAAACCCTTGAACACCTTGTACACCTTGAACTGTACAAAGTGGAAGAAAACCTTGAACCTGACCTGCGGGGAGACTAAGGGCTCTTATCTGAATCTAAATGTCACTGTTATTAATATATTTTAATATTACTTTTATGTTAAGTGTAGGTTGTTACAGCAACCATTATAAATTGTAATTGACACCATTCTCTCCATTGACAAATTATATTTGTGTGTGTAACTTGTAAATCCTGAGAATAAAGCTTTTTTCTATTCTATTCACAATACCGCCGATGCACCAACTACCTCTATCGCATTCCTTGTTATCCTGTTATACATTTCTCATTTCACAACTTTGCGACTGAGACGAAAACGTGATATATCACATTTTAGCGATCAATAACTACAGACGTAGATTAAGACCGAAATCACAGTCACAGTATATTTTGTTGTTATTCACAGATCGTGATTGCTATTTTCTAATCACAGTGTTAAATTGCAGGGCAGTGATATTTAGCCCACCTCTTAAGCTGTTATTCAGATTTGTGTTGACATAATACTACTGGCAAGAAACCTCCTGATTTAGAATATTTGATGAAAAAATATAAAGTGCACTCAGATTAAGGATCAATTTATATCCACTTTCATTTTTACTAAATCTCATTTTCTTTTTTTTAATTTCTACACTAGCAATATGACCTTTTATGCTACTCTTCTTCATTTCATCGTTTTCTGATTTGCCTATTGCCATCTACTATTTTTGATTATCTCACAAATTTAATGTAATTGAACAGTTCATATATTTCAAGATTTTGTAATTAATTAGTTTTCAAAATCGTGTGAATTGTGAATAATACATGTAAAGAATTGTGTTTTTAACAAGAAAAACACAACTTATTTTGAATTGGAGGGTATAAAACATTAAATAAAGTACTTCCAATTTTATTTTTGTGGCAAATTCCTACACTATAGCAGGTAGTTATAAAAGTAAAATTATGTAAATAACTTTATGACAATTCTTGGATTATAAGGTAATTTAATTAATTGACTTACCTTTCTCAGTTTCTTCTGTAACTAAGTTGTGATTTTTCACGCTGCCAGTAAGTATTGCCTGATAATCTGCATCATTTGTGACATATTTCAGATCATCAGTGGGCTGTTCTGTATATATCGTGTTGGAACTCTTGATTTGGACGTGGTTATTCCCATGAGTGTCTTCAAAATACTTATTTTCCTCAGAATCATTTTTAAACAAATCTGCAATATCAACTTTCAGACGATTTTCACATTTGGTCCCATTGAAGATAGGTTAAAATGGGTTTGACAGAATGAAATATTGGTGTTTGACAGTGTTGAAATTTACATTACAAATGAAACATACGTAATTAAAAACAATAAGATATTTAAAAACTAATATTTAACGATTACGAAAAAAAGAAAAAGTAAATAGTTTTAAAACAGTTTTTAACAGTAAATAGTAAAATGTCAGTATAAATAATAAAATTTAAAAGGTATCTGTTGCAATCTGGCAACTGGTGGTTTGAGGGTTCTGACTCTATTGCCAAATCTATCCGCTAATCTATCAAAGGGCAATTGCCAAAAAAATTTTCTAATTAATTATTACAACTAATATTAAACGAAACAAATATTACTTCATTAATATTTTATATAAGGTATAAAATTGCAGAATTAAAAAAATAATATGATAAAAATGTACCTTTTAAAAGCTTTATCTCTTTATATTTGAAGTATATAACATATACATTATAACAACATGGCAACACTTCCAACGCAATATTTCGTTCTGTGAAACCTTTGATTATAAACCACCACCCATAGATACCTCACTCTAAGGTAAAAACGAATTCAGTGTTAAACTCCGCCCACTTACAGCTCTTTGCCTCTCACGCCTAAGTACTACCTGACTGTATGTTGGCGACATTAATAGAAATCTTTGCCAAGATTGAAAAATAAATTTGAGTTGCCTGCTCCGGCCATTGTCTAGTGCAATAGACGACAATATACGGATACAGAATTTATTTCCAGATTTAGTCCATTCACCCACGGTAAAATATTGCAAAACCTTCTAATTTTAAAGAATCGCTTGGATTGACATGAAATTTGGCTTACGCCTAGCTAAGATGTCAAAGAAAAAAAGATGATGCTTTTGCCCTATGGTTCAGTATTACCCCTTCTCGGGAGTGAAAAAATATATGTTCAAAATAAGTTCGGGAGTGCCTAAAATCAGTAATTCTAAGCAACTTTTGTTTTTAAAGTCTTCTACTTTAAAATGTATAATATCTCTGAATTGCCAATATAAATGAGGCAGATTAAATAAATTATTAGAAGAATTTTTTTACTAAGCAACAACATTTTTGTTTAATTCATTAATAATTTTTTCCGCAAATCGCCAGGAAATTTTGACATTCCTGTCAAAATTTCTTGAAGAAAAAGTCAGGACTTCCTTACTGTAAGGAAATGTCATTTCCTTACTGTAAGGAAATGATATTTCCGTACAGTTGTTAGTGTTCTACATAAGTTTGACAATTCAACCTCAATACGTTTCCATAGTAACCCAAGTAATTTTATTAGGAATTTCAAAGCACCATTTATTTGGGAATAAAATTATCGCGTTTTTTTTTAAATCAATCAATATCTGTCGAATTTTAAACGATTTGCGGAAAAATAGTATGTTTACCTCGTAGGAAAAGCCACATTCCTGGACTCTGTGTTGCTAAGTCTCGGCTTACGCCTCGACTTAGCAATCTTCACAGTCGTTCAGGAATGTTAAGCTTTTCCTACCCGGTAAACAATGTACTATTGTATTTTGACAACGACGCATCATTTTAAAAATCATTTTTTAGTAAAATTGTGGCTTATTTCCCATCAAAACTAGTTAATTGCAAAAATGCCACAAGAAAATAGCTTCAGGACAAAATCGAGATCTTCCTCTGGAGCTGAGGATAAGAGACATAAGATGCTACGTGTTCTCGACTTTTTTACATGGAATGGAAAGCTAGACACTAAAAGTAATATAAAGAAGTTGGAAGCATTTGAGATGTGATGCTATAGAGCGATTTGATTCCTGGTTCGGCAATGTTGCAAACGGTTGGAGCGTAAGATCACACAAAAAGCTGGAATATTTAGGTCACATTACCGAAGGTGCGAAATATGAGATATTAGGCTCATAATGCAAGGTAAAATTAAGGGTAAAAGATCCATAGGTAGAAGAAGAATTTCCTGGCTGAGAAAGTGGTATAGTTGCAGCTCAATAGATCTTTACAGAGCAGCCGCCAATAAAGTACGGATAGCTGTAGTGATTTAAAAATTATTAGGGTTTATATGAACGTCTGTTATTTTCACCATGCATCGTGCTCTCACATTGGTTCTATCGATGTTGTATGTGTATTCAATATCTTGCCACGATATTTGTTAAGAATCGGCAAAAAAGTTAACTTTTTGTTAAGAAAATTATTTCTTAGATTTTTAATAGGTGGGGTGTATCCAACACAGTGAAAATCCTCTGATTTCCTATTTCTATTGCAAACTGATCCTAAATGCGCCTAACAGCTTAAATAAAGCTCCATTATTAGATGCTTGATCACACACTAACACTTTTGGTATATACCCAATATTTTGTAATTTTGAAACAACTTCGACTACAATGTGTTTTAAGTTGTCGCTATGTATTCTACCACCTGTAACAAAATAACAAATCGTAATCTTCCAGTTATGTAGCAAGCCGCACATCATGAAAACCAGACTGTGTTGGCGCATCTTGAAAAACTTCTATGTCATCTAATGTATTGTACTCCAATTGTTTTTTCAAAGAAATTTCATCAAACATTAACAGACAAATTTTTTCCCACTCATCCATTGCCTCTGCTTTTTTCTTCAACTTGTCAATTAAGGAAGTGTTTAAACCAGTTCTTAATTTTATGACACGCAACTAAGTTTGAATTGTTTTTACTGAAGGTAATATAAAGTTAAGAGGTCTAATTAAAAATTTGTAACACCTAGGAGACTTATAATAAATGGCCAGAGCTAAATCCTTTTCATTGTGACTCCAGTGTGAACGAGTTTTGTGTGAAAACTGTATATTAACAAAATTGTGCACATATTTGCTTTTATTTTCTAACAGTACCTGTAACATGAATTTGGTTGCCGATTTTCTGATTTTTGTTGTTCTTCTATAATGCTGACTGTTCTTCGGACGGCACTTCTTTAAAGCATTTACTTGATACTCCAATTTTTTTACCTTTCCCCGTCAATTAAGTTTCAAGTTTTGTGAGCAAATTAATGTCAAAACTGGAAATATCACTGAGACTACTACTTGATCTCTTAGATCATTGAAATGTATGTATAATTTTAATTAAAGCAAAACAAGCATATCTATTACTTCTGGAGTGATACTAATAACGCATTCATATTTAAAAAAAAATCTCTTTTGATTTAATTGTATAAAAAATATATAAATCACTCAGTATCAACTGATTTTATATAAAATAAAGTATACTCTCTCTATGACAAACACGGTTATTATGAGGTTTCGCTTATAACGAGGTACATTAGATGTCCCGTGAAATTTCTATTGAACTATAATCCTTTATAGCGAGGCAAATTTGGTTATAACAAGAAAATAAGATCGAAAAACGTGCTTTTTTGCGTTTTTGAACCGGCAGCGGTTATAAATAAATACCTTTTTTAACTTCCTTTATATAAATTATATAATATTTAATTATATAATTTTAATATATATAATATATATATATATATATATATATATATATATATATATATATATATATATATATATATATACATATTGGATTTGAAACTTCCGCGGGAGCTATAAGTGATTTCAGTTGTTTTCCGGGTTTGACTCCGCGTTAGGTAATTTTGGTTTTTACAAAAACCATTGTTTTGACGACGTTTCGGCAAGGTCACACTTGCCATTGTCAAGTCAGATTAGTTCTGCTTCGTCTTGATGTTTCAGGAGAACTGATTTCTCGGTCGCTGCTCGCTAAGTTTAAATACCTTGAAGCGCTTCTTGTTATTGGTCCTGTGCGCAGAGTGGGCGGGGTCTTCTTCGCTATTTTAATTTCTACGTTTTTCTGTAGAATTGGTTTCCACGTATTTGGGAGTCTTTGGGCATCGTCTCTGGTATTTAAATTTTTTGGATGTTTTTCGATCTCTATGGCTTCCCTGATTACACGTTTGGCCTTATTTTCGATATTGGCTAGCATTGTTGTTCCATTTAAGTCGATTTTGTGTCCTGTGTTGATGGCATGTTGTGCTAGAGATGAAGTTTTCTGTTTTCTTTCGATGGCGTTTCGATGTTCTTCGCGTCTAACTTGTATCCTTCGATTTGTTTGTCCGATGTACGATTTATCGCAGTCCTCACACGGGATTCTGTATACACCTTGATTTTCCAATGCAACTTTTGTTTTTGCCGATGGTAATATGGTTGCGATTTTTTTGTCGGTGTTAAAAATAGTTTCTATGTTGTTTTTACGTAGCACTCTGCTGATTTTGTCTGTCGTACCCTTTATATAGGGCAGGATAGTTTTTCCGACTGGTTTTTCCTCTTCTTCTGGATCTTTGATTTTGTTTCGGGATTTCTGTGCCTTTTCAATCGTATACATGGAGAAGCCATTTTTTCTTAGAGCTGTTTTGACTTTTTGCATTTCTTCGTTCTTATGTTCCTTATCTGCCAGTTTCTCAGATCTTGTTATTAGGGTTTTTATTACCGAATTTAATTGTGCAGGATGATGGTGTGAGTCTGCGTGTAAGTACCTGTCAGTATGGGTTGGTTTTCGGTATACTGTGTGTCCTATGCTTCCGTCTTCTTTCTTAATAACTAACACATCTAGGAATGGAAGTTGTTGGTTATTCTCCCGTTCCATGGTAAACTGTATTTTTGGGTGGATATTATTAATGTGTTGTAGGAACTCGTTAAGCTTCTCTTCTCCATGTGTCCAGATAATAAATGTGTCATCAACATACCTAAGCCACAGTTTGGGTTTATGCTCTGCTGTTTCTATTGCTTTTGATTCTATATCTTCCATAAAAAGGTTGGCTATTACGGGTGACAGTGGTGAACCCATATTACCATCGGCAAATTATTACTTATCATCAGAGCTTCTCTTGAAGATCGCCCTGAAGGTGCCAGAGTCAATGGAATCATCATTAACAATGTAAGATATGCCGATGACACCGTAGTATTAGCAGAAACAGAAGACCAACTAAAAATATTGATGAACATACTTTCAGAAGAAAGTCACAGACTAGGTTTGGATATTAATCTTTCCAAAACCAAAATCATGGTATTCCACAAGAACCCCCATGAACAAATTACACCCAACATACAAATCAATGGTATCACCCTTCAGAGCTCCCAAAGCTTCATATACCTGGGCAGAGAGCTAAACAGTCAACTAGACCACGCAAAAGAAATTAGAAGACATATTGAAATAGCAAGATCTGGCTTCATGAACATGCGTAAAATGCTCTGTAACCCCAAGCTATCAATCACAATAAGGTTAAGAACACTAAAGTGTTATGTGTGGTCTCTACTACTATATGGCTGTGAGACCTGGACATTAAAACAGTATGACGTCAACAAACTGAATTCATTCGAAATGTGGATGTACCGCCGAATGCTAAGAATAAGCTGGACCAGCAAAACTACAAATGAAGAGGTACTGGAAATAATGAACACACGACCTCATCTGGTTAATACAATCAAAATTAGAAAGACGTAGGACACATATATCGCCATATCTAGGACACATAATGCGCCATAAGGAATTTGAGCAGCTCCAGGTAATATTAGAAGGCAAAATCGAGGGTAAAAGGGGTATAGGAAGAAAGAAGAAATCCTGGCTCCGAAACATCAGAGATTGGACTCACACAACAGGAAATGACTTAATCCATCAAGCCCAGAACAGAGAGAAATTTGCCATATTGATCGCCAACCTCAATAGAGAAGGCACTTAGGAGGAGGACATCTTTAAAAAATATGATAGATAGAATGATACAGGACAATTTAAAGCAGCCAAAAATGTCAGACTTCTTCCAATTGCAGAAGGAATAGTTTATGTTATCCTTTAAAATACGCTTTATACATTATGTAGTTGGAAAAAAATGTATGTACAGATTTTTGTTTTAACGTGTATCACTGACAATAAAAGTAAACGACTTTTTTTTACAACGCCATTCAAACAATATTTATTAGCATCTTATATTGCCCCGAATGGCCTCACTATAGGAAGTTAATGTTTTAGAAAACTACATATCCATATGTATGAACAGTATTATTGTTATCTGTTATAACGAGATCGGCTTATAACGAGGTAATTAGTCTGCCATTTCAGTTCTCGTTATAGAGGGAGTCTACTGTATATTTTAATAGTATTATTCTCATTGACAAAGCGCATTAGGCAAACATAAAAATATTTCTAAAGTTGAGTACTCACCTAAATCAGTTGCTAACTGTGTACATTTTAGAGGAACAGCATTTTTCCTTAATAACTTTCTTTGGCCACTTTGGTAAATATGTTCCTCTGCAAAATGATGCTGGCAAATTACCCTCTGTTTCAGGTCACTGATATCAATATTCCCGCAGTTTTTTTTGCCAAATTTTTGTGCGCTCTACATCTTTCAGGGGAAATTTAAAGAAAGATATCTTATTATTTCTTCCATCGTTTCTTTCAAAACATCCCGCGTAAACACACTTATGCGTTACAGAGGCCATTTTATCTAAAATGTGAGTCCTTTTTTTTAAGAGATACCTAAAGTTTTTAAAAAGTACATTTTGATTATATTTTAGATTGCAATTTTAACTATATGAGCAGTAAGTAGATATTTCTCAAATACAACATTTAATTTACTAATGTTTTATTTTGAGAACGATTTCCGAAGTGGAAATTGAAACGTCAATAAACGTATTTTAACCTCTAATTGTGGCTTATTCCCATTTAAATAGTAAATGTACCTATTTCTTGACCATCCAGAAGTCCAGGTCTTAACCCCATGGACTTTTGCTTTTGGGGGCTTATGAAAGAGAAAGTGTATTCTGTAACAATAGAGGACGAACAACCATTGAGGGTTAGAATAATTGAAGCTGCAAATCAACTTCGTCAGAAAAATCTGAATTTTCTGTGCATTCGTTTTTCCTTATTAAAACGATACCGAATGTGTATTGAAGAAAATGGGGGTCATTTTGAACATTTATTGTTAGATCATATTTATAGAGGTTACAGACATTTTTTGTACTTGTTAATTCATTTAAGCCATTTATTTAGTTGCACGTAATTTTTTAAAGGTTAATGAAGATGGCCGTAACTTAATAAAAACTGTTTTTTGAAAAAAGATAGGAGTCAATTTTTTTTTTAAATAATGTATTTCTGAATAAACTCGCATATGTAGAGCTACAAAGACATGCATTGATAACATTTTTACAAACTGTGAACTTTATGTAGCAGAAGTATTAGATACTCATATTTCTGATTATCTTTATCAAAAATGACTTTCAGTATCAATGTAAACAAAAAAGAAAATATAAAATTTTTTGATTCCAACAGTAAAGAAAATTTTAGGCAAATGCTGCAAGATGAAGACTGCGAGAAGTTTTTTTTTGTACCAAATTGGGATATAGAAAAGCAATGGGTTGTATTTATGAAAATCATTTCTTTGTTATTTGACCAATGCCTTACAGAAAAAAATATAAATAAACATAAAAAACGTATCAAATACTATAATACAAATGAAATAAATCCCTCTACCTTAAGGGAAAATCTATAGAGACTGCCATTTATGATTTTATAACAAAGATAAATGGAAAAGCTTTACAGATATGGCATTAGAGGGTCAGATTATAATTGGATAAAATCATACCTATCAAACAGAAAGTAAAATTTGAGTACAAGGGAAGAAATTGCCTCTCTGGTGAAGGTCTCATTTCAGTGGAAATTCCTCAGGGAAGTATTATGGGTCCTCTTCTCTTTGTTTTTTTATGTAAATGATATAGCTTTAGACATAACAGATAACAATCAGAATACTTTTATTATGGAATTTGCAGATGATACTAACATTTTAACTATAGGGTCATCCTTGAATAATTTATTGAATAATGCTAATAATAGATTAGATAAAACACACAAATGGCTAAATATGAATAAACTCATACTGAACAGAGAAAAAACAAATTATATCCATTTTGTTACTAAAACAAATAAAAGTACCTTACCAGAAACTGTCTCAATTCAATCGCAAATGGTTATTCTAAACCAAAGCACAAAATTTCAGTTTCAATGTCTATAACAGGTTAGCATCTACCTGCTACTTTCAGAATAACAGCAAATTATTTGGGCGAAAAATGTAAATGAGTTGTATATTTTTAAAATTTTCATTCTGTATTTCAGCAACGCTGAACAGGTTTTTATATTACAAAAAAGAGCAATCAGAACTCTACTTAACTTGAAATACAGAGATTCATGTAGAGGTAATTTCAAAAAGCTAAACATACTAAAAATAGTTGGAAGATACATATATGAATGCTTACTTTTCATTTTTTAAATAGACATAAATTCTTGATATACATAACAAACCATAATACTAATAAACAAAACAATCTCATAAACTATAATATACTAATACATATACTAACAGCACCTGAGAAAACCACAGAATATGCCTGTATTAAATTCTTTAATTAACTGCCTTATAGCATTAAAATAGAAACTGACATAAATAAATATAGAAAGTCTGTTCAACTCAACAGTTGCTCATACACCTTGAACCATACAAAGTTGAAGAATACCTTCAAGCTGACCTGCAGGGATACTGAGGGCTCTTATCTGAATCTAAATATCACTGTTATTATTATTGTATTTTAATATTACTTTTATGTTAAGTGTAGGTTATTACAGCAACCATTATAAATTGTAATTGACACCATTCTCTCCATTGACAATTTATATTTGTGTGTGTAACTTGTGAATCCTGAGAATAAAGCTTTTTTCTATTCTATTCACAACACCGCCGATGCACCAACTACCTCTATCTCATTCCTTGTTATCCTGTTATACATTTCTCATTTCACAACTTTGCAACTGAGACGAAAATGTGATACATCACATTTTAGCAATCAATAACTACAGACATAGAATAAGACTGAAATCACAGTCACAGTATATTTTGTTGTTATTCACGGGTCATGATTGTTATTTTCTAATCACAGCGTTAAATTGCAGGGCAGTGATATTTAGCCACCTCTTAAGCTGTTATTCAGATTTGTGTGGACATAATACTACTGGCAAGAAACCTCCTGATCTAGAATATTTGATGAAAAAATATACAGTGCACTCAGATTAAGGATCAATTTATATCCACTTTCATTTTTACTAAATCTCATTTTCTTTTTTTTAATTTCTGCACTAGCAATATATACCGGAACTGTTCAATTACATTAAAATTAGTGAGGTAATTTAAAATGGTAGATGGCAATAGTCAAAACAGAAAACGATGAAATGAAGAAGAGTAGCATAAAAGGTCAGGCATAAAAGGCTATATTTCAAGATTTTGTAATTAATTAGGTTTCAAAATCGTGTGAATTACGAACATAATACTACTGGCAAGAAACCTCCTGATCTAGAATATTTGATGAAAAAATATACAGTGCACTCAGATTAAGGATCAATTTATATCCACTTTCATTTTTACTAAATCTCATTTTCTTTTTTTTAATTTCTGCACTAGCAATATATACCGGAAACTGTTCAATTACATTAAAATTAGTGAGGTAATTTAAAATGGTAGATGGCAATAGTCAAAACAGAAAACGATGAAATGAAGAAGAGTAGCATAAAAGGTCAGCATAAAAGGCTATATTTCAAGATTTTGTAATTAATTAGGTTTCAAAATCGTGTGAATTGTGAATACAATTCACACGAATTTACTTAAGAAAAACAGAAATTATTTTGAACTGGAGAGTAAAACATTAAATAAAGTACTTCCAATTTTATTTTTCTGGTAAATTCCAACACTATACTTAACAGGTAGTTATAAAAGTAAAATTCTGTAAATAACTACAATTTTTGGGTTATAAGGTAAGCTAATTAATTGACTTACCTTTCTCAGTTTCTTCTGTAACTAAGTTGTGATTTTTCACGCTGCCAGTAAGTATTGCCTGATAATCTACATCATTTGGGACATATTTCAGATCATTATTTTCCTCAGAATCATTTTTAAACAAATCTGCAATATCAACTTTCTCTAGTTGATCCTCATATATATCTATTTGTTCGTATTTTATTTTATCTTCCAATTCCATTGTGTTTTATTATTATTATAAATTTATTTGCCAGTCAGTCGGTCGGGGGTCTAGTAGCGTAGCAGAGCAGAGTCGGTGGTGGTCGGTCGGTGCAGAGGCAGACGCAGAGTGTCCACACTGTCCACTGTCAGTGTCCACACTGTCCACTGTCATCTATCATAATATCATCTAGTCAATCGTCATCCACTGTCCAGTAGTGCAGCAGAGTTGCCAACTCTATCATATTTCAAAATATGTATTTAAATGTTTCTAAATAGAGAATATCATATTTTCTCAATGTGAGTAATAAAGATTTACATATACGATTCAATCTTTTAAATTATAATAAAAAACTTAAAATATAATATTAGCAATATGATTCAAAAATTCAGTTGACCCCGTAAAGTTGGTTGCATAAGTAATTCAATTTTGGCCGTCGGTTTCTTGCATTAGATAGCAGGCGGAAACACGGAGAGTATATCACGTGACTCCAAAACCTGGTACCCATCCACTGCACCTTCGAATAAGGGTTCCAGAATCCTGGAATTGGTAGCATGAAAAAATGGAATATGTGCAATATGCCAACTGACACAGTACGACCGGTTTCACAGCCACAGTTGGCTGTGCCGATTTACAATTCCCTGAAAAAAGTGCGATAACTACCTATAGTGGCATCGCTCGATTCTAAGTAAGCTACAAGGTGGTGGAGACGTGGAATGCGAAAACATAATAGTTGAGTATCAATATAGGTCTATAAGGGGAACAGGAGCCGTCGAGCAAATGTTTACTCTAAGAGAGATTCCACCTGAAAGATCAATATAAGAACGAAACGCATATACTTTCCATTGCTTCAGAAAAGCTTATGATACAATTCATCATCATCATCAACTAGCCTCTAACGTCCACTGCTGAACATAGGCCTCTCGCATGCTTTTCCACTTAGTCCGATTTTGCGCCATCTGAATCCAATTTGTAGTCACTCTTTTTATGTCATCTGTCCATCTCGTTGGGGGTCGATCTCTATTTCTGTAAGCTTGTATTCGGGGTCTCCATTCCAAAATTCTTTTTGTCCACCGGTCATCAACTGATCTTGCTACATGACCTGCCCAGTTCCACTTTAGTGTTGTTATCCTTTCAATAACGTCTGCTACTCCTGATCTTTTGCGTATAGTAGCATTGGGTATTCTATCACGTAGAGAAATCCCTAACATAATTCTCTCCATTGCTCTTTCCGCAACTTGTAGTTTACTCACTGTTGTTCTTGTGAGCGTTAGGGTTTCTGCGCCGTAGGTCATCACTGGCAAAATACATTGATTAAATACTTTTCTTTTCAGACACATTGGAATCTTAGACCTAAAAATATCCTTCATCCTTCCAAATGCAGCCCAAGCGAGGTTTATTCTTCTTTTCAGTTCGATTGTTTGGTTGTCTCGACTTATTCTGATCTCATGGCCTAAGTATTTATAGGAGTCAACTGGCTCAATATCTTTGTCTTCTACTGAGATGTTTTTGTTGTGGACTAAATTTGGCATAAATTGTGTTTTTGAAAAATTTATTTTAAGACCAACTCTTTTTGTGGCAGTATGGAGTTCTTGGAGCATTATCTGTGCCTGATCAAAGCTGTCTGCAATAAGAACGATATCATCTGCAAATTTAAGGTTATTTAAAAATTTTCCATCTACATTGATGCCCTTTTCGTTCCAATCTGGCACGAAAAGTTGTAAAGCAAAGTTGTAAATAATTTAGGAGACATGTTGTCTCCTTGCCGAACGCCTCTTTCAATACGAAAAGTCCCAGTATCTTCATTAAGTCTTACACAGGCTGTAGCATGTTGATAGATGTATCTGATGAGAGATATGTATCGGTGATCTATTCTACATTGTGTTAGAGCTTGGAGCATTTCACTTTGATTGACCGTCTCAAATGCTTTTTCAAAGTCGACAAAGACAAGTATCAGGGGTCTATTATATTCAATGGTTTTTTCAATCAACGACTTAATGGTTTGCAAATGATCATTTGTTCCGTATCCAGCTCTAAATCCTGCTTGCTCGCAAGGTTGATAGAAGTCTAGTTTTGATGTCAACCTATTAGTTATTATCTTCATAAACAACTTATAAACGTGAGATAACAAGCTAATAGGTCTATAGTTCTTTAGCTCTGTTATATCTCCCTTTTTGTGCATGACTACTATAACAGCTTTATTCCACTGAGATGGTGTAACCTCGTTTGAAAGGCATAAGTTATATAATTGCGTCAATGCTTTCAATACTGTCTTTCCTCCTGCTTTAACTGCCTAAATAACGATTTGATCATCACCAGCTGCTTTATTGTTTTTCATTCTATTTAATGACTTTAAGATTTCTTCGATTGTTATTTCTGGGATATCCTCTGAACCCACATTTTGGACTTTTCTCAACTTGGTGCCGTCTTTCTTCCCCCTTTCTCTATATAATTCTGTGTAAAATTCTTCAACTACCTTAATTATCTTATCTTTACCTGTTACCACTTTTCCATTTCGATTTGCGAGCTTAACAATGTTCTTCTTACCTAGAGCTTGACATCTCTTCAGCACCTTTAAACTTTTATTTTTCTCGACAACCGTTGTAATCTTTTTTGTGTTATATTGTCGTACGTCCTTTCTCACTGCTTTATTAATATCTTTATTAATATTATATAGATATAGAGAGATAGAATATTATATAGATTAATATTATATTATATATGAATTATTAAATTCTGTTTTGTTCTATTATTTTTTTGATTACTTTTAATATAAAGTTGTTAGGTCAAATCTGGTCCTTCATACTTTAGGAGTTCGTTCGGTATTTGGCCTCTCCTGGTGTTTTTTTTATTTTTTAATTTAATTTTTTATGAAAAAAACCTTGAATATATGAATGCAGATCGTTCCGAACATTGGTTTCAATACGTTCTGCAACGTGTTGAAGATAAGTACGTCATCGTTATGGACAGAACAATGCATCATACCAGTCATCGGAGTGAACAAATTCCCACTTCAAACAGTGGCGAAGACTTCGAAAGGCTGAAATACAAAAATGGCTCCGGGAAAAAATATTCCGTACTACGAGAATGAAGTAAAAGTAGAGTTGATGTGTTTAATCAAACAACATCGCCCTACTCATATCGATTAAGTAGTGGATGGAATGGCCCGTGCTCGTGGTGTTACTGTTTAAAGACTTCTACCATAGCTTCAATTCACTGCGAATTGAACCAGATTGAGCTAATCTGGGCACAAACAAGAGTTTATGTGCCACGTCATAATGTAACTAATTGAAGATACGAAGCGTTTGCTAAATACTGCTATTGATGAGCTTACGCCATTAGCACGGCAGAATGCTATGTCCCATGTACGGAAGGTCGAAAAGCTGTGAAAATTATTAAATGTAAGCAATAAGAGCAAAAAATAATATTTATTTATTTATTTATCGTATGGCATACAATAAGAACACATAATTAAAAAATCAATATAAAACGTTACATGAAGTATTACAAACGAACATATAATGTATTATTAATATAATGTAAAACATTTTCGGTCGCATTCAGGAACTCATCGAAAACTCCAGGGAATCGCCTTCGGGGTCATTCTTCAACAATGTGACGGACGGTCTGTCGTTGCGCACCACAGTCACACTCAGGAGTAATGGCTTTTCCTCATCTATATAAGCTGTTAGCACATCTACCGCTACTTGTTCTTATTCTGTTTAGCGTTGTCCATGTATTGCGGATCAGTTCAAAGCCTGGCGGTTTCCGATCGATACATTCCATTTGATGTGCTTCCTGTGGTGAGTCGCTCTCTCATTGTGTTCTCCTCAAGCGTTGGTCAGGTTGAAGTCCAAGAAGACGAGCATTCTTTCTTTCATTTTTCTTCCAAGTTTCTGGACTCCTTCTTTTCCTCTTATTTTGTAGTCCCTCCGTATAAAAATTTTCACTGCTAGACATTTTAAATTCCTCAAATACTGATAAAACCTTAAATTATCACAAGCTGCTTACACTGCAACGATTAAGCCTAAATATTGAATAATAATAATCAGGTGACTGCAGCCGATAATGCGCGATACGCAATATCGAGTGGAAGAACGATAGGAGTTGTATCGTTATTCCACTAATGCCAAATTGTACCTCGCTTTTAAAGCGTATACTTAACGGATTTTGTACGATTCTTCGACTCATTAGATGGGATCTCTGTTTGGATAGTTTTATAACATAGTCCCTTTTTGGAATTGATATACCATTACAAATAACGGTATTATATTTTGATTTGTTACAGAGCAGCAACAAGCCGCATATACGTATTTCGATCTCTTTAGATCTCCTCAGTACGGTATAGTTACTACTCCATATCAAACCAAAATATTTTTTGAAATCGATTTCGCCAGGTAGAAATCATGTGATTTCTCTTTTTGATATACCATTCTTTCCAGTTGTTGATTTTATCAATATTAATATAACCATAGGCGTCATTTAGTGTTAACTTATATTAGTTGGTATCTAATTCTGTAGCACTCTTTGCTAGTTTGTCTACAATTTCATTATTTTTTAAATTGCAATGGGCTTTTATCCAACAGAATGATATTTCTTAACCTTTAAATTTGAACCCAATAAAATTTTTTTCTTATTTCTCTAATGATATGATTGTAATGTTCTGTTCACTTCTCCAATTTAGTTAGAGCACTTTTCCTACCTGAAAGTATCACGAAACTATCATTATTGGTGATCGTTGCTATTAGTTCTCCTGTAAATACCGTGGTATCTATATCTAGACCTATTCCTTCTCTGTATTGTGTTTTAGGGTCCCATATAGCAGCAGCAACTTTAGAGTTAATTTTTAAGGCATCTGTATAAATTTGGTAATATTTTGGGCATAGTATTTCTATATCTGTATGAAACATAGGTTCATGAGTTCCTTAGATTCGATGAGAAACTCGAATAATCTCGCATGTAAAATGGCTATATATTAGGTATATTTAGATATGTTTGAAATATGGGTGATATTCTTGATCTGTATAATTTATTTTTAAATTGGCGCAAGTTGTAGGTTTAAGCAAGTAGTAAAGTTGGTTTTTCTGCCAGTATTCACCCTTAGATAATGTATAAAAAGTTTTTTACACAGTGGACACTTATCCACTATTAAACTCTCTTTAGCAATGGTTTTAATTATAAACTTTTCGCATAGAGTTTTCTTTCTTAAATGCAGTAGTGGTTCATTGCACGCTATACTTAAATTAGGTGTCGGGTGCTTATTAGAGCTCCGATACATAATCGAAGGCATTTATTTGATAACACTTCTAGGTGAGTTTTGGCTGCTTGGTTGTAAAATATGCATCCGTAGTCTGAAATTGATCTTATATATATATGATCTGAACATTATTAACGAAATATTAGCATCTGCTTTCCAAGTTATGTGACATACCGCTCGTAATAAGTTATAATCTTTTTCAGCTCTTGTCACAACGTATTCAATATGATCTTTCCAGCTCATTTTTCTATCTAGTATCATCCCCAAATACTTAACTTTAGGTTAAACTTCAAACTGTAAGTTTTGCATTTTTACTAACTTTGGAAGTGTTTGGATAGTTCCTTGGGGTATCCCAGTGTTTGTTATTCTGGGGTCCACTAGTTTGTTGTCAATTTGAATATACAAAACTCTATTACTGTACAGTTTATAAATTTTCCAGCACAGTATATCTGGGATTCCTATTTTCTTCATTTGGTCATATAGTATTAATAAATTAACATTATCTACAAATGTAGCCTATAGAGAGTAGGACATTTTCTCCAACCAAAATTCTAATCTTTGTTTAATCATTCTTTCTAATGTTTTTAAGATACATGACGATAGCGAAATGCCTCTGTATGAATCCGGACAATCTGCGGTTTAGGTTGTTTGAGAATTGGGACTATAATATATTCTTTACATGAGTTTTTGCATAGAATTGGTCTCCTCGATACAAAAATCGACCCGTTTCTGGATTTTTGCTCAAAACAAAACATTTATTTTGCCGAGATTTGGAGGGTCTAAATTTCTGTGGGACACCATGTATATTTAAATAACAAAGAATAACAGACATTGAAAAATATATTTGAAATGGTTATTACACAAATAAGTTTATATATAGAGCAGATAACTTTTACTATATTAAATAAGATTAAATTAGGAAAAATACAACAAATTTCAGATATACAGATAAGATCAAAATAATGAAAAACTTAGTAATAATTATTTCGTTACAATGCCAAATTCTAAAAAATACATATTATATCATGTACTGTATTTTCACATTTTTTATACCGACAACAAATTAAGTTATAAGCAACACTGAAATACTTTGCTGTGATATAAAATATCATTTAAAAAAAATCTAAACTACAGTACACTACTAGAGTACACTATTTACCAAAAAAACCTTCAAAAGCACAAAGCAAAAGTATTTCATTGTTTATTGTTATATACGTAACAAATGTAATATATAAAAGTTTCAGTCTATATAGAGATTTGTGCAGTAGCTTACAGCTGGATGCATGAAATAGAAAGTGACTAAATGAAATAAAACTAAGGGTAAATTAAAGATGGACGACAATAATTCAGTGCTAACACTGAATGATGCTAAAATGAGAAAGTCTAGATTGAGATCGTTGACATTATTATTACGGCCACATTCACCATCTAGCGTACGAATCATTGCAACAGGAATTAGTTATCCGACAAAGTCCTCTCAAAGAACCGTAGTTTAACCCGTATTCAAGGTTAAACCCAGGTTTCATTAGCATTTTCCAATATGACCATCCATTCCTTATGGTTTCTCGTAGGACAAATAAACAATAACCGCAATGTAGCAAGGACCAAGAAGTTTCATCAGCGAAACCCTCTTCAACTTCTAGTAAAACTGGCACTTGTTCACAAAAATGTTTTGGCAATATATAAATTGAGGAATCTGTACTAGAGTGCTGGAATTTCTACCAATTTTCCAGATTTGGCTCCCTTTATTTTTAAAACTGAAAACCTTCCTCGTTAGTAAGCGCTTTTTATGTGATCAAGAAGATATTGTGTCTGTAAAAGAGTGTTTAGTTGAGTTTTGTACATAGTTTATGCTGCAGTGGCAACATCTCTAGTTTCAGAACGCTTTGTTTGAGTACTTGCCGCGGAAGTATAAATTCAGTGAATAATTTGTCATATATGTGGTAAAATAAGATTTTCACAGATACATGATGCAAATATCGTTGTAATATAACTGCTTATTACAATTATCATTAACTAGGGACCAGAAGACTTGTTGAAAAGATTGCTGTTATATTAGACTTTATTTAGCTCAGACTGGCTTAAAAATAAAAATTCGATCTATGATTTTTGCTATTCCAATAATTTGGCGAGAACCTAAAAATCATACTGACTGGGCTACTTCTGCTTGACTTTAACCATTAAAACAGAGTTGCCAGTTCAATATCTAAACGGAAAAAAATAACCAACCAAATCCTCCCCCTCTTATGACTGATTTTGAGAGACATATGATAAACTACACAGATTAAGTTAGCATAATAGTAAGCAGAACTTGGCGAACTCATTCGAGACCTTGACTTGTCACAGGAGAAGGCATACAGCGGGATCTGCTCTCTTTTTTGAGAAAAAATAATCTTATTGTTTGAAAAGAAGTCAATTATTTAATAAATGTTGGACCATGATCCAACGGAATGGAGGATATTCATAGTGTCCTTTAAACTTATAGCAACCACATATCTTCTTTGTGTATTGATTATGCAACCCACGTGAGGGGGATATATGATTTGAAAGCATTCCTTAACTCAAATATGACGAACACAAATGGAAAATCTGTGGTGATCTGAAAGTCACTGCTGCTCTTTTAGAAATACGGTTAGGCTACACAAAACACTGATGCATGTGAGACAGCAGAGCTACGAAATTATATAAAAGTAGACTGGCCTTCAAGGAACTGTAACCTTAATGAAAAGACTTGTTGCTGAGTGTCCCATTGATCCAAGTTATTTTACTCCCATCATTACATGTTAAGCTGATATTAATGAAAAATGTTGTCAAAGGAATAAATTAAGAAGGGCGGGTTTTTAACACGTTGCCTGCCGTAGAGGATTTTGTAATACTTTCCGTTCACGCCATAGTCACCGAGACGGTATCACAGTTACATTAAAATTCTCGGTCAATTAGACCTAGCTGGCGTGCAGAGCAATTTTTTCTCGGCCACATATACCGAGACGGCAGGCAACGTGTTAAATACCTCAGAGGCAAATTTAGGCTTAATTTAAAAAAGGTATTTTTGTAGAGCCACAAATTTGTCAACTTATGAAGTATCAAGCATTTGACAAAGGTTGGAAAGGCAAAGAAATCTGAAAAGAGTTATTCGTGGATTTTTAAGCTACAAAAGAGATGACAACAACTATCCTAGTTTAATGAAAGTATTATTGTTTAATTCAAACGATTTGGATGTAATATGGCTCTTAAAATCCACTTTATCCATTTCCACCTTAACTTTTTTCCCTAGTTGTGGAGCTATGTGTGATGAACATGGAGAAAGATTCCATCATAACATTTCAGTAATTGAAAAAGGTACCAATGTCATTAAAACGAAGCCATGCTTGTAGGTTACTGCTGGTTTGTATGCAGAGACGTCCTGGAAGTCACGAAGTCAATACATAATTCTCTTCAATCCTAATAACCCCTAAAAAAGTATTTACTATCTCTAGTGGGAATGTTTGGCTTATGGAGTGAAGGTAACATTTAAAAACATTTTTTTTGGTGGGGCAGTGTAATTAATGTACATAATAGTGATTATATTTTTGACTACTATGTAAGCTACTGCTACATTTAATTAATACACTGGAACTTTTGCATAATACATATTAAGTAAAACAAATTAACGGCAAAAATGGGAAACTTCAACTTGGTCAACTCTTTGTTTTTTACGAGCGTTCATCTCATCAAAAAATTCTCGAATATCTTCTTCTCTAACTATTTTCTTGTTTTCCGCAAATTTTTTTAGGTACTCTCCCAGTCTCTCTTTTAGGTCGTTATATCCGGCTATGCAGTCTATAAGTTGAACGCGGTTCATTGAATTCATTTGTTGCTTAACATGATCATCAACTACTTCTTGAGCTTTAGCTTTACCTTTTTCTTCATATAAATGTACTGGATCTTCGGAATCTAGTAGAAAAGCGACGTCCTCGTTTTCGTACATTTTTAAACAGTCATCGCATGTACAAAGTTCTTTACGCCAATTTACCTGCAATGAAATGATATAAATGAGCAAAATACAAACGGGATGAGGTATTCCGGGAGTGATCGAGGACGCGAAGCATAGCTTTCTTATCGTCCAATTTTAATTAATGTCATCAGTTTATTTTCAATTAGGTATTAATCAAATTAAGACTATATTGTAATAATTTCACCAATATTTATTCATCAAATAATTTTGAAAATAGTCTAAAAAGTTTAATAAAAAGTCCTGAGGAAATGAAATTTTTGGTTGAATATATTTTGAAATTTTTTTAAAATGTTTCGTAAATTTTTGGGCAGGAAAACAGTAGGTATAATAAAAAGTTACGTGACGGTTTTTCGTAGAGTTGGAAGAAACCTATTTTTAATTCATTTATTAAGTTATCAAATTTTATTTACATGTAATAAAAAATAAATACTTTGAATATTTTAAAATAATAAAAAAAAAAGATTATTTGACGAGATAATGGTTGATAGATAATAATATATTTTTCAAGAAAATGTAAACACGGCTAGAGCTGTACAATAAGATACTCTACGCTAAACCTAAAAACCTTGTGTGTGCTGTAGACCAATTATAATCAGTACGACCACTCGGTTTTACGTTTACGACTTTTCGAATTAGTAGATGTTCAAAAGATAGTAAATACCAGACTAAATGAATCACGCCAAAGGTATCGGCAAATACTTCCAGGCATTTTGAAAAAAAAAACTGAAGAAAAGTATTTCAGCCGAGAATTCATGAAGGGTGAAGCGCATGAATTTATCATATATTTTGAAGACGATAGCGAGTCTGAAACAGAACTGTCTAATAGCAACGGCAATAACAACAACGACCTATAATGCACATAATTATTGCTGAATTTCAAATCAGTTTCAGTTGAGTTTCACCAGTAGGTAGTAAGTGCGATCCTTCGAAGTAAGTGGACGTTTCAACCAGTGCACAATGAAGACATTCCAGGACCTACGCTGTGTCAATCCCAGGACCAACTCTGCGAGAAAAGATGGACGGCCATGCTCCCCGAGGCCGGGATTACTACTGTGTGTATGTGCGAATTTCAAATCAAAATCCTATTCTTTTTCTATCAAACATTGATTTTTTATTAGCCCACTTACAATTTTTTCAGTTCTTCAAAGGGGTTTGTATTTATAATCAAAATTTCCTCTTCATCTTCTTTTATGTAGACATGACTCTGTCTTCTTTTTCAATGTGCCTCCAGTAAGTTGTTGTCGTTCCATCGTTTTCGTGGTCTTCCTATTAGGGAATCATCCGTCCCTTGACATCTTCACTACTATATTTGTTGTCACTCGGCTTATATAATCGTTCCATTCTACACTTCTAATTCTCATCCAGTCCTTGATATTCTCCACGTTGCATCTACGTCATATATATGTACTTCTAACTCTGTCCCATAGTGTTTTATCATAAATTTTTTTAAGTGTTTTCATCTCTGCTGTTTCTAACATCCTTTTTGTTCTCTCTATGTCAGGACGTGTTTCTGCTGCGTATGTCATTATTGGTTTGATCTCTGATGACTGTTTTATAAATTCTGTTTTTTATTTCTTTCCCGATATTTTTATTTCTCCATATTGTTTCATTCAGGCAACCTGCAGCTCTGTTTGCCTACTGTTGTGCCTAGTTATTTAAACTCCATCACTTGTTCTATTATCTGACCTTCCAGCTCCAATTTATATCTTAATAAATTTGCTGTTATAACCATGCATTTTGTCGTTTTTGGGGTTATTAACATGTTAAATTTTTTGGCTTTCAGCTTTCTATACATGTTATAATAAATTGGTGCAGCTATGTTGTAAATCATTTTCACTTTGTGAGAGTAGTATTGCGTCGTCTTGCGTAATCCTTTTTTAGTTCTTACTTTTCTTATTATTTCATCCATAATCAGGTCGAACAATAGAGGACTCAGGGAATCTCCCTGTCTTATCCCATTGCCAGCTTAAATAGGGTCAGTTACTTCTTCTTCTAGTTTTACTTTTATTGTGTTGTTTTAGTAGATATTTTCGATCGTTTTGATTATTCCTAGATAAGCGTACAATAAGTGGATAACGTCCTTTAATTTAACCTGGTCAAATGCCTTTTTAACTGGATGGAGCTCCTCCTCATTATGTGTATGTTTATGGTGAGAAAATACAGATGGTGGAATGGATAACGTGGTCTTATTGATGACCGCCACGATCACCCTATATGTATTCTTGGATAATTAGTTTAATTATTTTCTGTGAGGTCATTTAAAAACAATGTACAAAACACTGACAATAATAAAAAATTAAGAGACAGAAAAACAACATACAGTGGTGTTAAAAAGTCCTGCATCACCTAAGCGTCTTATAGTTTTTGAAGTTTAACACAAGTTTTTTGTATATTTTCGCTAATTCATTTTAAGTTTGTGCTTGTAATTAGCATTATCGGTATACTTACTGATGTTTTTTAATTACTAGCTCAAAATTCTACAGAAAAAATTAAAATAATCTGATTGAAGGGATTTTCCATAATTCGAGAAAATTATGAGGTTATTGTTAAGTCGTTAAAGTACTATTAAATTGAATGTTAATGACAAATTTGTCACATATTTTGACTATATAAACACTGTAGTTACCCTAACCCATTTATTAGCTCTTTAATTTTTGATAAAAAGATCAAGATTTCATCCCAGACCAAACAAACTAAATTATCGGACGAAAAGAGTTTTGAAATTATTTTTCCCCATAAAAACGACAAATCTAATCGCGAAATAGCAAATTAGAGTCATTAAGAAGTATGCTAAACAAGGAAAAATCAACAACAGGCCGCGTAGTGGCTGACAAAAGAAAACTTACAGGTGTAAGCGTATGCACTTCCACTGTGAGAAAAAGACTGCTTAGTTTTGGACTTAGAGGATGTAAGGCAAAACCACTGCTTTCAGAAAAGCAACGATTGCACCGTTTGAAATTGGTCAAGGAACATCGAATCTGGACAGCCGAGAAGTGGCAGAGTGTACTGTTTAGTGATGCTTTAAATATTAATAATCGTGCTGGAAATGCCTGTTAGAAGATTTCCTGATGAAGAATTTTTTCCAAAATGTGTTCTTCCCACAATTAAACATCCAACCTCCGTTATAATATGGGGTTGCATGTCAGCTCGAGACACTGCAAAAATTAATAAAATCCATGCCCAAAAGATGTGAACTAGTTAGTAAAAACAAGGGCTGACCAATTAAATATTAAAATTAGTTTAAATTACTTCAATGTGATGTACAATATCGTCTTGATGTAAATGCCTTAATCTTCTATTTTCATATGTTTGGTAAGGTGATACAGGACTTTTTAACAGCACTGTATAATATAAAGGGAAGGTAAACCTGTTACACATTGTAAAATGTTGTTGAATTACTGTTTGTAGGTCACATTTTGAGCATCTATTGTAAATTGCTAATATTTGCCAATAAAATTATTTTAGATGAAACTGTTACTTTTGGGTTTAAGGTGTGGTATAGGAAATATATTTATAATCATTTAGATAAAATATAAAAATCCTAAAATATACAGTGTGAATAATTTGAAAAAAAGTTATATTATAGGAAAAAATGAAAATCTGATAACATTACTATATGAAGATCAACCATATTACCCAACCCGTATTAAATGAAATTCATAATTACTCTGTTAACCACTTCTGAAATAAATCCAGAATTACATACATGTGCCTCTTATTATAAAAAGCATAAATTTGACCTATACATAGATATTACTTACATTTGGCCAAAATTTAGCACAGACTTTTAGTGACTTCTGTTTTGGTTTTTTGCAATAACCAGCATTTTCATTTTCTGTTTGTTCTTCATCTGTCTTTATTTCATCACTTGGTTGTGCTGTATCAGATGTTACATCTACATTAGTTTCTTCGCTAACACGAGTAGGCTTAACCATACTGTAGCTGTCATAATTGAGTAAGAATTCATGTTTAGTTACACAAGCTTCACAAATCATTTCTAAAAAAGACTTAAATTAAACCAATCTTAAAAGTGATATAAACATCAGAAATATATAAATACTCAAAAACTGGTTTTCTAAATTATTACTAATTTTTTTATTCGACAATGGCTTTTATGTTTGTCCATTGTGGTTTAGGACATATCGACAAATCTGTCATTGCAGAACACGCTTTGGGGATCGGAGAACATCGGGATACTGTTTGAAGAAACGCAGATGCTGGATAAAACATCACAGTACTACCCACGGTTATATTGGGAAGCGGTGGAAATATATAAGCATCCAAATAATTTTAATCGGATAGAAGAAGGACAAAGAATTAACAAAACATGGATACCGATTTTAAAATCCACAAACAAGTAAAGCTACAAACGACGACACGCCCCCTCACGACGAAACTGGTGGAGGGGAGAGGAGTAGAAAATATAAATATGACCTCCATGTAAACCTAAAAACGCGGTGTCAGTTTCAGCTTACAAGCGAAGCAGTAACATCTTCAGTTCAACTAACAAGTTCAGCTTAACAGCCTGAACAAACAGTTTAATAAGTTAGGCGATGCCTGTGAAAACCTAACGCACAAAAGAGATTCCTGATAATCTTAATCTAAAAAAGGAGGTAATGTCCTTTAGGAATTCAAAATGGATTCTTTTATATTTTTCCATATTTCCATATAATTTCTCTTTGGGGAGAAACGAACATCGACCATCTCATGGGTATTTAGTTAATGGGTATGGAATAATTAATTAATAGTTTATAATATATTGTACAATAAACATTTTTGAACATATTTAAAACACATAGGGGGAGGAAATGCACAGTCGTGTCAGCTTTTTAACATAGACTTGGAAAAAATCGTTCTAGACAGCAGGTGACCGTATTTAATAGACCAGTCTGAATGTTAGCATAGGCTGATGACGTGAACATTATAACATAATCAAGGAGAGAACCACGGAAATACTAACTGACCTAGTAGCAGCAGCAGAACGAATGGGATTATATATAAATCAAATTAATACTGACTAACAAAAACACGAGAGCTCGCAATGTTGACACAGATCTTATTGACCAATGACCCAAAATTTCCAAGCAGTCAAAAAGTTTATTCTAGGTTCATCAGTTGATCACAATAACACATCATAATTGCAAACAGGTATTACATGGTATGTCAAAGTTCTTAGCTAAGAAACATCTCCCTCAAAAATCTTGGTCTAAGACTGTATAGAATACTGATGGTCCCTGTTCTCACATCTAATAAAACTGACAAATCCTCTCTATCTATATATATTTATTTTATTTTTAATAATACTTTGTACTAACCTTTATATTTTATTGAAGCCTTACCTGCGAAATTATTCGAAGGTACTTCGGTACCTAAATGTCTGGTATGATACCAATCTTCACAAATAATACATTGTATCATCTCATCAGGTACTGGATCTTCCATATCAGGGAAAGGGCGGTGACAAACGCAATACAACCCAGAGAAATTTTGATTGTAAGCATTCAGATCATTTACCAGGCTCTTATCAGTAAATAAGTTACATACAACATTATTAAATTTACTATTACCACAATCACATCGGAAATTTCTCTTAGTATAAAGTTCAACTAGTTCATGCCCATCATGACAGTGATAACTGCAAGCCAAGCATACTCCAGCTCCTCTTTCTGGATCTTCTTTAGCTTCAGGAATACATGTGAGACACGAGTATAAAGCTTGTCTCTTGATGTAACCCTAAGAGATAAACAAAATTTTTAGGTGCATAAAATTGTTTAAAAGATTATATTTAAGTACAAGATAACAAGTACCCAAGATTAAGCAGCTTTTTAAATTCCAAAAGAGTGATACAAAAAACTAGTATGACAAAACACATCTTTGTTTGTGTGCGGTTCATACTGTAATGTTAACCATTTCAGGTGGCCACTAAATATGTATTTGATTGCTACAACTATACTAGGGAAATATGTAAAAAAATACTATGTTTAAGACTTTCAATAATCCAGGTATCTGATAATTTTTTTAGTTAATACAGATCTGTAGAAAGAAATTCTACACATTTTCTGCAATTCATTCAGTGTTGTTTTTTTTTCATTATTAATTATAAAACATATTTTCTTACTATTTAACAGGCAAGTATTTGAAATAAAATTCAAAAATTTTATCTTTTGAAAACTTTTAAAAAACTTCCAAATTGTGCATTCCATAGGCTAATGGTGTATTTCATGTGAAATCTTATTGTACATTTTGTGGCTTAGGATAAATCCTATCCAATAAAATGTGGCATGTAAACAGTAACATACATATCTTGTCAAATTTAAATGAAATCCAACGTCAGACTGAAGAAGTGATGAGAGAAGCATCAGTTTATGAGTTCTGATAGAACAAAACGAAATATGTAGACTCATGTTCAGACAAGATGGCCAATTTTGGCTCAATTCACAACTAACTCCACCCCAGTTCGCTTCCTTTTGTTGCAATGCAACCATGATTTTCTCTGGGAATTAATTAAAATATCTGAAACTTTTCTGTGCTTGTGGCAAGTGAAAAATAAAGACTAGAATGAATGTAATCAAAAAATGTCACATATGAGGAGCTGATAAAAATACCAAGAAACAGACATGATGGCAAATAAAGAGAGTTATAAAAAAGTTAGGGCATTAGTTGAACTCAAGAAGACATATACAAACCATCCTTGTGGTACTTTGGACCAATTGGAATTTTTAAATGATCAAGATGTATCAAGGATGCCACAAGAAACTATACATGATAAGTCTCAGAAGATATCTGAGAGTTGCTGAGTTTTTTATGGGGTGTAATGTCTTTGTTTCATACAGGTTAATAGTAAAATTAAAATTACGGACAAATTATACAAAGAGCTTTAAAAGGGGCAAGATATGTGGTAATGAAATAGTTTAAGAGCAAAAACAGAAAAATATTATTTTGATAAAATCAATAAATACAAAAATACTCTACTTATATGGAAAACACTAAAAACATTAATTAAGTGTAAACGAGAATGATCAAAAATTCCAGTATCACCTTGAATTTTTAGGTTAGTTTAGGTTGAAAGGGTGCACCAGTATGGTGAGTAATTATTCGTCTCTGGTATTCAGCAAATTGTTGAAACTATTGATTCTGAAGAATTATGGAGTTATGATAATCAGAATTTGTATCACAATATTTTTGAGTATTTTATATGGTTGCCTGAGTGCATATTCAGAGGAGCTTCTTGGTGAATATCAAAGTGATTTAAGGCCTGGTCGATCAACAACAGACCAGATCTACACATATTATCTTTTTGTAGATTTTAAATCGGCCTATAATAGTGTCCTAAGAAATAAATTGTATGAAGCAATGGATGAATTCCACATCCCCAATAAACTAATAAGATTGGTTAAGGCTACAATGCGTAAAGTTGTTTGCAAAGTTGTAATACAGGGCGAATAATCACAGGAATTTCAAGCGCATGTTGGGCTACAACAGGGAGATGCGCTGGCGTGTCTCCTTTTCAACATAGCTCTGGAAAAGGCGGTCAGGGATGCCCAAATAGACAACAGAGGAAAAATTTTTAATAAATCATCCCATATTTTGGCATATGTAGATGATGTATACAAGCTAGAAGAAGGGTATACCACCTTGTCAAATGCCTAAAAAAATATGGGCCTGCAAGTAAATGAGGAGAAAACTAAGATAATGGCATCAATACCCAACAATAGAACCAGAAACATTGGCCACCAATTCACGGTTGATAACTCTACCTTTGAAGTGGTGGACAAATTCACATACTTGGGCTCCCTGATCACCAAGGAGAACATCATAACGGACGAAATCAAGCGAAGAATAATCCTAGCAAACAAATGCTATTTTGGATTGAGTAGGCATATGAGAAGCATAAACTTAAGCCAACAAACAAAAATAACCATATACAAAACCGTTATACAACCAGTGTTGACATATGGATTGGAGACATGGACCATTTCCAAGGCAGATGAAAGCCTCCTGCTTATATTTGAATGAAGGATCCTGAGAAGAATATTTGGTAGCATCTGTGAAAATGGTGTTTGGAGAAGGAGGTACAACTACGAGATATATCACAGATATAAACGTATATTTGGTGCTAAAGACGTAGTATTTCTTATAAAAATAGGAAGACTAAGATGGGTAGGACATCTGGCAAGATCACAACAGAACAACCCTCCTAGAAGAATCCTTATGTCACAACCTGTGGGAAATAGAAGTAGGCCAACACTCAGATAGAGGGATGGTGTAGATGAGGATGGTAGAAAAATAGGCACAGCAAACTGGCAACAGATGGCAGTGGATAGAACTTATGCCTGAGATATAAGGGTGCCAGAATTTGATATTATTTGTCGGGAGACTAACGGTTAAATATTTTATTTTAAAATAGTAAGCAGATGAATGATCAAATATTTGGTCTAAATCCAACTGAATCCAAATTGGTCTGTGATGAAATTGACTGTATCACATGATGCATAAATTAATAGCTAAATAGCCATCTTAATGGTCATGGTCAACAGTAGAAAAAAGAGCAACAAAAGAAATGAAATCTTGTGAAGTACCCATGTATGGATAGACATATAGGCCCTTTCCTGGTCAATAGTGTCAATTTTTTAGGGACACCATGATTTACCTGTTTGTGTTAAGTTGCATTTAATGTAAAAATATATGTAATACCCTTCAAAACAGTAAAATAATATGTATGTAAATTTTATTAATTGAAGACGGGTTCACTAAGAAATATGCCGTTAAATACTAGACATTGCAAAATATTTCACATCTACTTAATAAATGCGATTTGGCAAGTTACCTCAACATAGGAGCATGTTTTATCATTTGCTGCCCCAAGAACAGCAGCGGTGTTTTCTATCAGCTCGTTTTCAAATTCCAACACATCATTTAATGTTACTGTTACAGAATCGTTTTCAGTATCCATTTCTTCGTTAGTTGATTTATTTTCGTTCTCCTCTGACATATTGATTATTATAATTTTAACAAAATATGTGTATTAATATGTTAAATTTGTATAAAACCGGCAAAATATTACAATCTGTAGATTAAACACAAAACAATTTATAATGTCAAAATGGCGGGAATAATAATGAAAATGACATTGACAGTTTCTTCTCCATTTTTATGACGTAGCATCCTATTTTTGATAAGCATAGAATATTTTATATTTCTTTGGGAATATACCACAATAATTTTTTACAATATTATAATGTTTTTAACTTTTGATTTGACTTCCAATCAAATTGTTAAAAAAGCGAATTAAATATAAAAAAAAAGAACAACATGATATTCTCATATCATATTATTTTTATATTTATTAACAGCACGTTCGGGTGGCATGGGATACGCATACGATTCGGACGATACAATAATTAACCACTTTATCTCGCAGTTCACTGCTTAAAAACAGTAAAAATCTATAATTTATTGTATACAATAATAAACAGTGAATTACATTAATTTATATAATTTTAAATAAGGCCTATTTAGTCAAATATAAAAAATGCATAGCTCGGGAATTTTCTAATTAATTGTTTAGTATCATAAAACGATTGTCTTTTCTTTATTTTTTTAAGGTTTTTCAAGTATTGTACATATACAGTATTATAGTGTTATTACGATCTTATATGCCTGGTTGCACCAACATATCTTAAGCTTAAGACGTGCCTTAGGTAGGCCTCAGCTCAGACTGATCGACCGACCACGACCAAACCGTCCGACGGCGATCAACCAAATTTTGTATTTTTATTTTTAAGAATATAAAGAATATTTTAGAATCGAAAATTATGGTGCAACGTAAGTGAGAGTTAAGGCAGCCCTAGCTATAAGCAGAGCTTGGCTAAGCTGGAGCTTAAGATCTATTGGTGCAACCAGACTATGATACAGTGTACTATGATACGATATAAAGTGGTAAATTATCGTATCGTGCATGCCGTCTGAACGATAACGGTAATGTAAAACAATTTCCAGATTTTTGAAAAACGGAATATACAATATTTATTCTTTAGCCACAATTTAAGTTTAAAATAAGTTTAGGCAGGAATCACACTGCTCGACCAGACCGACCGTCCACGATCGACCAAAATTACAAGTCTATGAAAATGTATGCGTTGACTCAGACTGGTGGACCGTCCATCACTTACAGCGACCGACCGCGATCGTCCAGTTTTGAAATTCGGACTTGTTGGAATTTTTGGTCGTTTGGTCGATGAATATGGAACATTTCGCATTCATTTGTGCTGTTTTGAGCTAATACATTGACCATTGACATTTAAAAATTTGTAATTAACCTATAAAATTGGATTTGTTTTTGTTTCTTTGGATTATGTAGTTTGTATATCCAATACAAAAATTAAGGTTCTATTAATTTTTTGGAAATGCTAAGGAATACTCTGGAATACTAAGTTTTTGGAAACAGGACTTGTTCATGCGATAATTGTCATATATTTAGTTTTAAGTCTATTCTATTAGTTTTATGTTTTATGTTAGATGTCATATTAGTTTTATGTTTGATGTTGGTTGACATATAAATGAAGGCTGACACTTCGTGCCATGCCGATATATTGTAATGGTTCTTAAATAAAAGAGTTAATAAAAATTTAAAAAGCCTACGTTTATTAATAATACAACATGGCGCAGTCAAACGGAAAATAAAATCACATTTGTTGTGTTACAAAGTTTCACTAAAGGTAAAGTCAAAAATAACTTTGTAAGACCTATTATAATTAAAAATACAAGATGGAGGTGAGGCTGCCAAATCCTATGAAATTTGAGGGCAATATAGCAGAGCATTTCAGGAAGTTTAAGCAAAACTTGGAAAATTACTTGATTGCCTCTGAAAAGGACACAAAGCCAGACAAAATGAAGGTTGCTATTCTTTTAAATTTAATAGGTGAAGAAGGAGTTGAGGTTATAAACACTTTAAAACTTTCAGATGTCCAAAAGGGTAATTTTCAAACAGTACTAAATGAACTAGAAGCATTCTGTGTACCAGAAAGAAATGAAATGTTTGAAAGATTTGTTTTTTATACTCGCAATCAGGAAGAGGGTGAAGCATTTGATCATTTTTATACAGATATAAAAAAATTAGCACAGTCTTGTGAATTTGGGTCTGAAATAGATAAAGCTTTACGTGATAGGATTGTCATGGGAATCAACAGCAAAGAATTGAGAGAAAAATTATTCATTCCCAAGAAGCTAACTTTAAAAGATGCTGTGGATATTTGTCGAGCTAGTGAGTTGTCAAAATTACAACTGAAAAATGTTGAGAAACAGTTAACAGGAAAAATAGAGGCTGTAAAATACAATCAGAGTTATCAAAGATCAGATAGAAACATTCAACAAAGCACAAGTAAAAGTGGTAGTGGTAATCAGGAAATATTCAATTGTAAGAGCTGTGGAACCCGTCATGGAGTTAGGCAGTGCCCTGCATATGGTCAAAAATGCAAGAGGTGTTGGCGGTATGGGCATTGGGAAAGAATGTGCCGCAATATGTCAAATGGATCTAGCAGCAGTGGTTCAAGGACAGTCAGAGAGGTAATAGAAACTGGCATTAGTAATAATATGGATGCAGATGACATGACGATTGCAACAATATCTATTAATGAAATTAAGAATAGTAAAGAATGGATGGAAACTATTCAGGTAGGAGGTGTAAATATTGACTTTAAAATAGACACAGGGTCACAAGTCAACATTTTACCTAATCATATGTTGGATAAAATTGATAAAAACATAGGCTTAGAAAAGTGTAAAATAATTTTGGAAGCATATGGAGGATTCAAAATTGTTCCATTGGGTATTGTACATTTAAATTGTTTGGTCAATAATATTATTCATAGCCTCAAATTTGTTATTGTAGAGGGAAATAAAAGCTCACCAATATTGGGTCTTCCATCATGTTTAGATTTAAAAATTTTACCCAGGGTTGATAGTATAACATATGATAATAAAGAGGATTTTGTTAAAAATAATATTGATGTGTTTTCAGGATTAGGTAAATTTAAAAAAAAATGTATCCTTAAACTCAAAAAAGATGCATTGCCAGTTGCTAAACCACCACGTAGGGTACCAATAGCTATTAGAAATAAATTAAAAGAAGTGCTTGATAGTTTAACACTGAGAGGTGTGATTTCTCCATGTGAAGGGCCTATGGAGTGGTTGAGCAATTTGGTAATTGTTGAAAAAAGTGATAAGTCACTAAGATTATGTTTAGATCCAAAGTTTTTAAATTTGGCATTAGAAAAAGAATATTGTGTTATACCAACACTAGATGAAATAAGAACACAATTAAAAAATCAATCAATTTTTACTGTACTAGATTTTAAGGATGGATTTTATCAAGTAGAGTTAGAAAAAGAATCAAGTAAATTGTGTGCTTTTAGTACAATATTTGGAGCATATAAATTTAACAGATTGCCAATGGGTCTTAATTGTGCTCCAGAATTTTTTCAAAAATTAAATCAAGAAAATTTTGGTGATTTGCCAGGGTGCTTAGTTTACTTTGATGATTTGTTGGTTTTTGGGGAAACACTGGAGCAACATGATATGAATTTAAAAAGAGTCATTGATAGGGCAAGACAGCTAAATGTTAAATTTAATGAGAAAAAGATTCAATATAGGGTTAATGAGGTAAGATATTTGGGTAACATATTTGGCATAGAAGGAATGAGACCTGATTATGATAAAATTTCAGCAATAAAAAACTTAAAAGAACCATCAAATAAAAAAGAACTTCAAAGTATTCTAGGAATGATAAATTATTTAAGGAGTTACATTCCTAATCTCTCTAGTATTTCGGCTCCATTAAGGGAACTTCTAAAAAACAATGTTATTTTCTCCTGGACAAAATTGCACTCCAATACATTAAATAAAATTAAAGAATTGGTTAGTTCACACTCTGTGTTAAAAAATTTTGATGAAACTCAGGAGATAGTAATTCAAACTGATGCTAGTCAAAATGGGCTAGGGTGCTGCTTGCTACAAAACCAAAAACCTGTTGCTTTTGCTTCAAGGTCTCTAACAGATAATGAAACACGGTTTAGCCAAATTGAAAAGGAGTATCTAGCCATTCTATGGGCTTGCAATAAATTTCATAATTATGTTTATGGACGTCATATTAAAATTGATTCAGATCATCGTCCATTAGAGGCGTTAATGAAAAAAGGAGTGTCTGAAGTCCATTCACCAAGATTACAAAGAATCAAGGTAAAGCTTTTAAAGTATGATATTGAGGTAAGATATAAGCCAGGAAAAGAAATGCATATTGCTGATTTACTGTCTAGAAACTTTCAGAATATTACAAGTGAGGATGATGTGTTCATTACAGAAATAGTTCACTCAATTAACTTCACAGAGGAGAAAAAACAAGTTTTCATTGAAGAGACATTAAAGGATATTGGGTTACAAAGATTAACAAACTATTGCTTAAGGGGATGGCCTACAGATAATAGTAAAGTTCCGGAATCACTTAAAAGATATTATTCAATTAGACATGACATACATCTATGCAATGATTTGCTGTTTTATAATGACAGAGTCATTGTACCTAATGCATTACGCAGAGGGATGCTCTCACTGTTGCATGAGAATCATTTTGGTGTTACTAAAACTCAAAATCGTGCAAAGCATATTTTATATTGGCCTCAAATAAATGCTGATATTGAAAATTTTATTAAGGAATGTAAGACTTGTGAACAATTTAGCAACAATAATGTCAAGGAACCATTAATTTTAAGAGATTTTCCTGAGCTGCCTTTTCAAAAAGTAGCTAGCGATTTTTTTGACTATGGTGGGAAGTCTTACTTTGTTTTGATAGACTATTTTTCAAAATGGTTGGAAGTAATTCCAGTAAAGGACAAAACTGCGGAAACAGTAGTAAAATGTTTAAAATTAATATTCTCAAGGTTCGGAATCCCAATGGAGGTAGTTTCAGATAATATGCCTTATGATTCACTAATGTGTAAGAATTTTGCAAAAGACTGGAATTTTAAATTTTGCACCTCTAGTCCACATTACCCGCGGTCAAACGGGCTGGCAGAAAGGGCAGTCCAAACATCTAAAAATATGTTAAGAA